CACATTCATGTTCACAAAGGATTGCCCTATAGTTATCAGAAACCGATTTAAGGCAAATGCCACATTTGGGTTTGGTTTTAGTCATTATTCAACTTTAGTCAAGTGAAATAGGAATCTTGCAACAAATAGTGGAATATAGCCAAGTCCACAAGAAAGTTGAGGTTAGAAATGGTTATGTTGAGATATAAACCTCAATTTAAATTAAAATACTAAAAGTCTTTCACCAAATTTCACAAAATAATACCAAATCAAGATGATCAAATAAGATCAAATGTCGCACAACACCTGTTACAAAATGACTACTCACTAGGAAAAAATGAGGATAGTCTAGATATTTTAAAGAATTGTAAGAAAGGATATGCAATGAATGCTTGGGAAGAATTGTATATTTATAAAGAAAAATGTAAAAATAGTAATAAGTTGATTAATGAACAAATACATTTTGATTCCAGTGTACGTATAAAAATGTATTGGCCGGTTCTTCCGGTAGCCAATAGGGTATAAGTAGGGACGCCATCATGATTCTTGTCATTCGCCTATTGGGTTTGATGATGATTGGAGTGTCCAATCGAAATCGATCACCACTTACCATATTTTTTTGTATATTTACCGTCTTGTGAGTAACAGTATAAGCGTAAATATATGTTTTAAGTGTTATAAGACGTTTCTTTTATTTACTTTCCGTAAATTTAATAACACGTACAATGCTGATCAAGAAGTTATTTAATTATAAATAACCGAAGAACTCGATAGACACCGTCAAAGGTCCGTCAAATTATTTTTCTTCACGTGATCAGGAAATACGTGTAAATATGTATATAGTTTATGTATAACAATTTTTTTTATTTTACACTTACTGTTTGTTACATTAGCCATTAGCCATAATGTAAACAATACAATGCGATTTATTGTAATTGTTTGCATTTTATTTAAAGCTATCCTATGTTCGTTCAAGCGTGAGGTAGGCTAATAACCCATACAGAATAACAATAATTGTACTTAATACTAAGCATTTGAAAACAGTTTTGAGCAACATAACTGACAACAGATTCAATACTATAAGCTGTTTAATTAAACTGTTTACAATGCTGGCAACTGTTTACAGTGTAACCACATCATGTACTTCCATGGATCTTAAAAATCCTATCCATGTGTTCCCGTCCGTCTTTTTTGAATTGCTCGAACTTTGTCTAAGTTACCTTACAACCTTAGGCCTCTTTGTGGTGATTGGAACCGATCATAATATCAATTTGCTTAGCTCTGACAACTACGCGTCTGATTTTGTAAATTTGATGCGAACTTTTAATATATTCCCTTCAATCATTGAACCAACTAGGGGTCCTGCATCTTTGGACACTTTTCTAACCAACTTGGACAGATGGGACTATGTGGCTGCGGTAAGTGTGGACAGTATTGCAGATCACAAGCATGTTCTGCTGTCGGTCACTACTCCGAATGTGGATCAACATCACCAGGTGTCCTCAAAAGTGGTATCCTTCAGAGTCTACAGTGAGGAGGCAGAATTTAAACTTATAGAATACCTAGAACTGAATGCACATTTCTGGTTTGATAAAATCAAAGCATTGACGGCAAATGATGCTTTCATGTTTTTTCATGTCAACTTCAACATGGCCTTTGATCATTTTTTCCCAATAAAATGTAAAAAGGTGCATGTTGGCAAGTCAGGGGTTTCAAAAATAATGGTTTGCCTGTTGTTAAGGACTGGTATACCCCTGAACTCTCTAGGCTAAAGAACATGATAACTTTAGTTAATGATTTAGTTAGTGTAAGACCTGATCTGTCTAACTTGCTTAAGCTGCTTAGAACACAATACCGTAAGAATGTGAGGGATGCAAAGATCAACTCAAATGCCGCATACATAACAGGGGCTTCCAATCCCTGTAAGGCGGCCTGGAATTTAATAAATCAAAATAGACCTCAAACAAAGTCTGATATTCTTGATCCGTCTTTTGCATCTGCTGATGAATTCAATTCGTACTTTGTTGAGTCTGTTGAGTCCATCTTGTCAACCATTCCAAATATAACGCAATCCTCTCCTGGGATTGTCAAGCATACCTGATGGTGCACCTACTTTTGAATGGAAACATGTATCGGTCCAAGACATTATTAATGCTGTTATGGGCTTTAAACTCTCTAACAGTAAAGATGTGTATGGCATGACACCTAATCTTTTGAAACGCATTGTGTGGGCACTGGCACCTATACTAGCCCATTTGGTTAATGTATGCTTTTTAGTAGGTATTTTTCCTGCTCCATTAAAATTCTCTAGAACTGTGCCTATCTATAAAAAAGGGTCCCGTGACAATGTTGCAAGTTATCGACCAATATCGTTGATTCCTGTATTTTCTAAACTGTTTGAAGCTATTATGTTTGCTCAATTGTACGACCACCTTGAAGCACACAGCCTTCTGGTGCCTGGTCAATTTGGCTTCAGGAAAGCCAAATCCACTATATTGGCTTTTGATTCTATTGTACAATTAATTTTTGATGCTTTTGAGTCTAAGAAATCTACCTCCGTAATACTTTGTGACCTCTCTCGCGCTTTTGATTGCGTGTCACATGAAATTTTGCTCCTGAAATTGGGAAAATATGGCCTAGAAGGCAGTGCTCTGAGATTGGTCAAATCCTACCTCAGTGATCGCCAACAGGTTGTAAGTTGGAATGGTATTACATCTAAACCATTAGCTGTAAGACACGGGGTTCCGCAAGGTTCCATTATGGGACCTCTGTTATTTTTAGTAACAATCAATGACCTCTATACCAGACTTGAAGGTAATTGCATGTTGTATGCAGATGATACTTCCCTTATATCATGTAAAGCGACCCGTGAAAAAGCAGAGCTGTCTGTTAAGAAGATTTTTGAGTCAGCCTCAAATTGGTTTGTTGACAGTAAATTAGTGCTCAATAATGAGAAAACACAGTGCATAACATTTAGCCTATGTGATTCCCAGATTGTTCCTTTCCAAGAGCCTGTCAAACTCCTTGGTATAACCCTTGACCCCTGTCTCAATTGGAAAGACCACATAAGCCAAGTCTGTACTAAACTAAGTAGAGTAGTACATCTTTTAAGACGTCTAAGTGACCAATTGCCACAGAGTACCCTTAGAATGTCCTTCTTTGCATTTTTCCAACCTCACATATCCCATGGGTTAATTTTGTGGGGCCATTCACCCAATGTCGAAAAGATCCTGCGACTGCAAAAGAAGGCAGTAAGGATTCTCTGTCATGCTCACTATAAAGAACACAGTAAGCCATTGTTTAAGAGACAAAGAATTCTGACAGTTGTAAATATGTATATATTCCAATGCCTTGTTAGTATTAAGAACAGCATGAATGATTTACATGTAACCAGTTCAGTGCACAATCATGACACTAGGTTTAGTTCTAAGCTTGTCATTCCTCGGTCCAGGACTGATAAAAGAGCTAGGTCATACCCTGTTTCAGGAATAAAACTGTTCAAACACCTTCCTGGTCATGTGAGAAATCTGGAAAGAAAGAACTTCCAAACCGCAATATTTGATTGGCTGATTGAAAATCCTTTTTTCAAATTCAAAGAGTTTTTTGAAACTGTATTTAGTTAAGTTTTCCTCTGAACAGCGTGTTTGCTGTTTTTGCATAGTGTATGCATTTTGCATGAACTGCATTTGTTTGCTTTGTATCTTTTTGTGCATGGTCTTGAACATATTTTTTTTTCACATGGTTGGTTTTGATCGATTTTTGCTTGGTTTGATTTTTAAGTCTTGATATTTATTTTATTTTATGCTTGTACATTGACATAGCCTGTAACAATGTTGTTGTTGATTGGCCAAATAAATTCATTGTATTCATTGTATTCATTGTCTATACATTTCATGTCACAAGGTGGTGTAACATTCAGTTACCGATGCATCCATCGTGGAGAGGGACAGAAGACAATCTGCAAGCTGTGAACTTTTTGACATCGCCACATCAAGTCCACGTGGACTGGCTCAACCAATCAGAGAAGATTATCCAAAGATCACACCCTCTCATTGGCTGTCCCTATAGGATAGGATAGGAGGACGTCAATTCCTACAAAGACCAACAGAGGACAGTCTCCAGGAAGTCTTAGGTCCGGTGACCGTGGTCTACACTTGAAGTTTTAGGTCGTGAGTGATTCGTGGGTGCAGTGTTGTTTTAAAATGGCCTGTCGCCTTAAAAGGCAGATTAAAATTCTTCAGTGAAGTGTGTAATGCAACAAACCCATAAAGTGCAACCAGTTAATTTTGTAATTGATTAAACTAAATTGATAAAGCAGTGCAGCCCAGTTCTTGCTCCAATCCTAACTATTTTTTTCAATTGCTTCTTTTCTTCTGGCATTTTTCCTTCGTATTTGAAATCAGGCATCATAGTCCTAATTTTCAAGTCAGGAGACCGCAGTGATGTCTCAAACTACCGCCCGGTTGTCCTCCTTCCCATCATCGGCAAAATATTTGAAAGCCTGGTACTTGAAGGACTAAACTTCGAACTGGGGAAACACATAGCCACTCAACAACATGGTTTCAGGAAGAGCAGATCCACCTCGACCAATCTAATTCTCTTTGAGGACTACATTGTTTCGGCATTTGGGAAGGGACTGCATGTTGACTGCATTTACCTTGATTACTCGAAGGCTTTTGACCGAGTAAGTCATAAACATCTTCTTGGCAAGTTGGAGGCATATGGTGTGACCGGTGCACTTCTCAATTTCATCAAATCTTATCTGACCAATCGCTCCTTGGTGGTAAGGCACTCGTTGGCCTTATCGGATCCGTTTAGTGTCACTTCTGGCGTCCCTCAAGGGTCTCTGCTTGGCCCTTTTTTTATTTAACATCTTTATAAATGACATCGCAGATATTCTGGACGTTAGGTTTCTCCTCGTTGATGACCTGAAACTCTTTTGTGAGATTTCCTCAAAGGATGACAACGCTCGCCTTCAGAGAAACCTTGACAATGTTATCCATTGGTGTCGAATCAACTCTATGGACCTAAATGAGAATAAGTGTGTGGTCATGCAGTTCACACGCTCTTCACAGATGAACTGTTTCAATTACCATATTGGTCTTCAAGGTCTGCAGTCTGTCAAAGAGGTCCGCGACTTGGGTGTTTTCTTCACATACAACCTTCACCCTGGCGCTCACATATCTCGCATCTGCTCCAAGGCCTACTCCGTTCTCGGTTTCATCTTCAGAGCCACCAGAGGACCATTTTCTCTTACCACCATTAAATCTCTCTATATGACTCTCGTCCGCTCAATTCTGGAATTCAACTCAACTGTGTGGTCCCCTTACCAACTGGGATTGGTTAATGAACTAGAAAAAGTCCAAAACCGATTTCTTAGATTGATCGGAGTCAAGATGGGTTTTCGCTACACTGAAGTTGACATCAACGAGATTTGTCAGCTTCTTAACCTCCCGCCGTTGCTTCTTCGAAGAGAGTTGATGGACGCAGTATTCCTATTCAAGCTAGTAAATGGCTCTTTGGACTGTCCTGAGCTGCTGGGAAAGATTGACTTCAATGTCCCTCGTCATTCCAGACATCAACAATTGTTTAAAAGAGATCACTACTCCACCTCTTACATTCAGCACAGTCCGGTACCTCGCTTGATGCGCACAGGGAACAGCATCTGCGGAGACGTCAACTTCTTTGGCCGCAGTGTCTCCTCCTTCAAGTCCGAAACGAGTGCCGTACTCAGAAGAATGCACATGTAGTGAAATATTGTTAAATGTCACTCATCCGTTTCTCCTTCTGTTTTACTGTTGTATGGTCTATTTATTTTGTTGTTGTTGTTAAATAGTCTATTTATAATTTTTTTGTTGTAATTGATCTATATTGTCTTGTTCAAAATGGTTTGTCATGTAGTTTTTGTTGTTAATAGTATATATTATGATTGTTTTTGTTGTTAAATTTTCTTATTTATTTTGTTTTTCGTGCAACATGCCTGTATAGCTGTCACGTCCTGTAAATCATGATATTTTATTAATCAAAACTGTATTGTTATCGTTTTTCATATTTTTATATTATATTTTATTTATTAGTAATTCATATTATTTATTAGTACGGGGTGTCCCACGAAGGGGTTTAAACGTTTGATTTCATATTACGTGCCCATTCATGCACCGAACTTTCTTAAACTTTACACAGTTTACAAAGTAGGTTCTAAAAATATTCTGGAAAAATTTCAACTCCCTAACCTTAGTAGAAACAAAATGGTGGCATATTGACAAATTTACCAATGTGCTTTCTATAAAAACTACTTTCATGATTTATTATTAGTTAGTTATTTATTATTATTATTTATTAGTTATTTGATTTATTTTTAGTTTTCCATTAGGCTATATTCTAGTTTTTTTTTTTATTTTAAAGTCATATTGCACTGGAAAGTAACAATAAAAATATTTTATACAACCAAAAATACCTTTTTTAATGTTTTTAAAGTAACGTTTTTCAATTTGCCGCCATTTTGTTTCTACTAAGGTTAGGGAGTTGAAATTTTTCCAGAATATTTTTAGAACCTACTTTGTAAACTGTGTAAAGTTTCAAAAAGTTCGGTTCATGAATGGGCGCGTAATATGAAATCAAACGTTTAAACCCCTTCGTGGGACACCCTATATTTCATACTATTGTTAAAATATTTAATTATTGATCGCACTAACTATCAATCTCAACTCAACTCTCCTGTAAATTGCGTTTGCCGTGTATGCAATAAATAAATAAATAAATAAATAAATAAACTAAAAGTGTAAGTCCTGCTCGCTTACTTTTGGATAAATGATTGAATATTCTAGAAGTTAAATTTCGTCCCTTAATATGCGTCGAATCAGTTATTCAGTGTAACTTATATTTACTTGGATTCACTGTTATATACCCTTTATTCACTTCAGATTGCTTCGATTCACTTTGTTTTGAATTGATTCACCTTCTAATCCTTTGATTCACTTTCTTTTTGCTTTTATATTACCAATACAGAATAAAGTATTAAGTAAATTAACATTGATATTATTCTAATTTGGATTCATTTAATTAATTATTTAGTTGCAAGTGGGGCTTTATTAATAAATATACAGAATCTACTGGTTCTACATAACTTTTATTAACATCACACAATACTTAATTCACAGATTACATGTTCTCTTTGTGAAGGCCAAAATCAGAGGGAGTGAGTTAGCGGTTTCGCTCCAAAATCCATAAGTAAGAAAAACAAAGAATGAACTCCAAGTCATTGCTTATAAAAAGTAAAAAAGGAACAACATAGAGTAAGTGCTCAGTTGGTGGACAGAATTTGTTGGACAGAAAGAAACAAACTTGTGATATATTGTAAAGTTCTTAGACATGTGCTCCCAGGATGATCTGCTGGTGTATAACGCAAATCCAGTTTTGTTTACTTCTGGTTCATCATCAGAAACTTCTTGAGTAAATAGCCGATCAACTCTGCTAGCTGGCCATCGACAGTCCGAAGGCGTCGTGATTCTGTCTAGCCAAATTTACACCGCTGCTGCCCCTTGGACAACGCCTACAGAGCTGGAGTGCATTTAGTTGTATTCCTTTGACTCTATGATCTGTATATATATGTAAAAATAAAAAATTATCAATATTTTGTAATTTACTTTTCTTTTAGTATGATGGATTTTCAACTCTTCGAAAGTGTAAATATTGATTGTAAAACGGAAAAGAATGTGCTAGATCTCTCAGCCATACTCAATTCCCTTACAGTCAACCACCCTGACCTTGATTTCACTTGTTTGATTGAGATAATATCAGAAATTCTAAAAACCTTAAGTGAAGTCATTAACAAAAATAGTAGTCTTGTCTTAAAAAATGATGAACTGTACTGTACAAAAATAGGACTTGAAACTTATATTGAGAATTTAAAAAAAACTGTTGACCTTAATGAATCTTTTAAAGTTCAAGATTGTATAGTAGAAAAAAATAAAAGTTTGTACAAAGAGTAACTAGCAAAACACAAAATTGTCAACCTAGAATATCAACTTGCTAAACTGAACAAAGAAAACATTTCTTTCAGGAATAACTTGGATGTCAATTTAAATGAACCCCCATGTGATAGTGAAATAAGTTCTTGTAAGCAAAAGGTTATAGAATACCAGGTAACCAACAGTTGTCTCATTCGTAAGCTAGAACAAGCATTGGAAAACAATACTGACTTGTCTAGTGAGCTTCATAGCTTAAAGGTTAAATGCAAAGCCCCCCAATGTAACGACACAAATAAGTGGCTAGATGACTCTGTTCTGCAAGCATATTTCACCACCTTCAACAATCACCCTACAACCGTACTGTCCAAATCTTTATTTATTGAACCATCAGTTACTGAATTGTTAAAGGCTGAACAAAATGAAACTGTTAATATACAATTACAAAATATAGGTATCTGTTCTTACAAGTATGTGTTCTTTAGTCTAAGTAACAGTAAGAATAAAATATGTTCTAGTGGTAGTGTCTCTGAAAACCATGATGAAGGCTCACATTGGAGCCTATTGTTCTGTGACATCTCTAACAAGGTAGCCTACCACCTTGACTTATTTAACCTCAATGTTGAATCGGCTGAAAAATTAGCACGTAAATTGGGGTTTACCCTCAAAACTGTTGTCTGTTATCAAGAAAATAACAACTTTGAATGTGGTTTAAATGTACTTGTTAATGCTAAGCTAATCCTTCATTACTTTTGTTCTGTAAAAAATCAAAGCTGTGACTTTCAAAACTGGTTTAAACAATGTACTTTAGTGTCAGGTAATGAAATAAATGTATCAAAAAATCAAAACGCACGATCACGTGAAGTTGAACAACGTGAAAATAACAGTTCTGATAAACTCTCCACAGTGAAATTAAGCCTGAAAAAGTATAATGGAAACAAATGGAGGGTAGTAAAATGTAAGAGAAATGCACGACCAAAAACTCCAGTCAAACCACCAATTGAGCCAATAGACCTATCCAACAGTTACTCCATCCTTTCTAACCACACTCCTAAAACTTGCCTTCCTGAAAGCCCTTCAAGTCGTAACTCCTTCCGTAACCCGCCTAGAAAGTCCTCTAGTACTCAAAAAGAAAAAAGAAATAATAAATTCATAGTTGAACCTATCTCCTCTTCTAATACTCCTATTCCCAAACCAAAAGACCCTTGTACTGCTGTCCTTCCTCACTTGAAAATATACAGTGATAGCCATGGAAGAGATCTCTCTTTTATTCTGGAGCGAAGGTTGAAAGGTAAATTTAATGTATCCAGTACTGTAAAAGCTAATGCTAAAATGGAACAGGTATTAGACAGCATAGGCTGTGACAGGCATATAGGTAGTGAAAATGTTATGGTTGTTATAGCAGGCACAAACAACTTTGATGTTAATGGGCGCTGTAACAGCTTTTTAACGGAGCTAGATTCCTTCCTAAAAAAGTGTGTCTAGTCCAAAAAACCTCCTTGTTGGTCTACCAGCAAGACACGATTTTCCTTTTATGAACCCGGTTGTAGATAAAGCCAATTGTGATCTGTTATCCCTATCCAACCGCCATAATAATGTATCCTTTGTCCAATTGCAGTCTATTTCCCGTGACCTATTTACCAAGCATGGTCTCCACCTCAATTACAAGGGGAAGGTAGTCTTGGCAGACTTTCTCATTAATTCATTGAACCCTTCATCTAGTACACTTCCATCATACTCCAACCATCACTTCTCTACCCATCATGTCAGAACATTAGGTAATCCTTTGGATAAAAATCCTGTTCATAACCAGTCTAGTTCCTTTAAACCAGATAAGCCATTCCCAACCCGTGTCTTCGTCAATAATCTTTTTTTAGGGAAAGCCCAAAAACATCCAGAAATCCCATGGGCCCACCATCTCAAAAGAGGGTGGGGACTCGGAACACTAGCCTCAAAGTTATGCACCAAAATATAAGAGGCCTGCTTAGCAAACTTAATGAGCTAGAAATATTCATAGACGAAGAATCCCCAGACTTATTCTACTTAACAGAGCATAGCTTAAAATCAAATGAAGCTGAGAAATCTCTAATTAATGATTACAGATGTGTGACTTCCTACTGTAGGTCAGGGAAAAAAGGAGGCGGTGCTGGCATATGGGCTAAGCCTGGCTTAGGCTGCAAACCTCTTGATTGTAGTGACTTTTGTGAGGAGTGAATTTGCGAAATTGCTGCTGTGTCAATCCAAATCGATATTAACATAAAAGTTTTATTAATAGCTGCATACCGACCACCATCAACACTGTATTACGATTTCTTATACAGAATAACAGAATGTCTGAATAAATATGCTAACCGACACAGTACAGTTGTTGTCATGGGAGACCTCAATATTAATTTAGCTTGTGATACAGTTCCGGCGCAAAAACTCATTACCTACATGGCATCCTTTGACTTGCAAAATATTATAACGTCATATACTAGAGAAGCACATGGATTTCGCAGTCTTATTGATCATGTGTTTACTGATAATAAGAGTGTTGATAGCTCAGTTATCATATCAGGACTCTCTGACCACAGTGCCCAAACTGCATCTTTTCATTTTAATAACATCATTCAAACCCCAAAAGCCCTATATAAATATGAGAGACTTTTTTCAAACTCAAATATAGAATCGTTCTCGTATCATCTATCTAAGGAAACTTGGGATGAAATATATAATGCAGCAGATTTGCAAACAAAGTTTGGAGATTTTTTATCGAAAATTGCCCACTTGTTCAAAAACTC